CTTAACCCGCGCCCCGCTGGGGGCAGAATCTGCCCCTCCCGTTTTTCGCCAATAACTTCTAAACGCGTTACGCCAGCAACGTCAAACTTTTAGTACCTTATTATACATCAACTTGACACATTCCCTGAAAATTTGAGCAAAATTCGTCGGAAATTTTCTGAGAAAATGATGTTTTAGTGACGTCATGTTCGCAATTTTCGCTTCAAAAACGGCAAAATTTCAAACAGCGCTAACGGCTTCATTTTTATAAGAATCAAGATGTAACAAAAATGTTACACGTGATTCTACTTTGACTATAAATGACAATCTCGGTTTTTGAAAATTTAAATTTTAGCCCAACTTTTTTTTTCTAAAAAAAACTGACTTTTTGGGAAAATAATTATAAAATCCAAAATTTTGAGTGTATCGAAAAACCGGAATATATGTCAGAGAACTGGTCTATGTGCACCTACATACCAAATTTTAGAAGAATCGGTCAAAAATGTGGGAGCTATTCAAAATTTTATGACGTCACGACACACAAAATTATCGAAAAATTAACTTTTTGGAAGTTCTAGACCTCGTACGGAAACAAAAATAGCACCATTCGATTTGCCGTGAAAAACTGCATCAGATATACACCTTTTTAGGCCTCAAGAACCAACTTCAAAATTTGACCTCACTTGACCTGACCTTGACTTGACCTCGACCTGAAATTCATCCAAATGTGGTTCATATCACTTATTGAGTGTGCCTATTTAATTCTATAAATAAAATGACCCATAAAACATGTGTCGCACATGCCCTTTTCCATATTTCGTTTTTGGTGACCTGACCTGACCTTGACCTTGACCTTTGCATAATATCGTATGCAACGAATATTGTCTTGGTAGCCTAAGAACACGTTTTGGGCAATCAGGCTTAGTCCATTCTTCGGCAACTTCGGTGCAAGGCCGATAATGTAGAAACTTGCATTTTTTACCCTTGACCTGACCTTGACCTGACCTCTTACCTACTTAACCCGCGCCCTGATGGGGTCTGCCGAGCAACACGGTCTGATGGGGGGGGGGGAATTTTGGCCACCCTAAGATCTCAAGAACCACGCAACATAGCGACAAGCGGCAAACGGCGTTGGATAGCCCCAACGGGGAACTACCTTGTGACCCAATGTCATTGACCTCGGTCTAACCGATGACGTCACAAGCCAGGTCAAAGGTCGAATTTTCACCGTTTACAGGCATTTCAAGAAATGCGTTGTAAAATCGAGTAAAATACATTTCATTGAAAATCATCGATGGGGAAATCTTCGTCAAACACATATTTTGCTATTTGAGGTCACTGATACCAGGTCAGGTCACAGAGGTCAGGTCACTGAGGGTCACAAATTAAAAATATCATGTGATGCATGTTTTATGGCTCATTTTATATGCCAAATGCGATTATGTGGGACAGGCAGCCCTTGGGGTCAGTTGAGATTATGTTTTGGTGAAAGTCAGGTCACGGTCAGATCAAGGTCAGGTCAAGGTCAGGTCAAATTAGGTCAGATTTCAAAGTTGATATTTTTGCATAAAATGGGTATCCATTCGATGCAGCTTGTCACGGGGAGTTCAATGGTGATCTTTGTTTTGCGCTACGTGGTCTATAATTGCTAAAAATTGAGTTCAAAAAATTGACGTCATCAATTTTGAACTGTTTTTTCGCTATAACTTGGCCAAAAAAGGAGTTATCGATCTAAAATTTGGTATGTATATCGAAGAACGCAGGGACTATCACATTTATTCCGTTTTTTTTCGAAATTCGATTTTTTTTTCTATTTTTTTTTTAGTTTTGTAAAAAAATCAATTCTTTTGATTTTGAGGGGTCAAAATCCCGCAGTTTTGAAAATCCGAGATAGCAGTTTTGTAGCACCGTTTTTTTATACACAACCACATAAAGAACTTTAAAAATGCTTGTTAACTGTAGATTTCGTGAGCGTTTACAGTTGTCTTGTTTTTGCCCATTTTTACTCGAACATGACCTCAGTTTGACCTCAATAACTCCTGACCCAAAGTGACCTGTGACTTGAAATTTTGTGTGAAGGTGTCAAATTGATGCCCGGGAAGGTATCCAAAATTTGGCGGCGCTGCGCGCCGCGGTTTTTTCGATATTTAAGAAAAACCACATGGGGGCCATTGGCCCGTCCATCAGGGCGCGGGTTAAGCAAAAAAAAGGGGGGCTCGTAAAGAAGCCGACACATAACCAGGGAACCAATTGAGCTACAGCGCCGCGGAAAGTGCGTTTGATAGTCCTATCAATGCTTATTTTTATTGTGTATTTATTTGTCTTCACATTTTACATATCGTCAACGGTTGTTCTTGTAGATGGCAAAAACTGCATCGTGTTCCTTTCGTCAAGACGCATGAACTATAATTATGAGGTCTAGAACTTCCAAAAGATTCATTTTTCAAAAATTTTGTGTCGTGACGTCATAAAAATTTGAATAACTCCCACATTTTTTAACTGATTCTTCCAAAAATTGGTACGTAGGTGCACATAGACCATTTCTCTGACATATATTCCGTTTTTTTTTTCGATACACTCAAAATTTTGGATGGATACTAATGGATACTAGATCTTGCAAGGTTCATTTCCCTGTGACATTTCCTCTGGCAGTGAGGGCGTTGCGAAGTTGCGACATCTAAAGACCGTGCAGAGGTTCACTTATGACGTCATAGGTCATTGACCTGACCTGACCCAAAAATGCGGTTGGTGTCAAAAGATGCGGCTTGAATTGAAGGTCAGGTATGCCAAGTTTCAGCTCTCTATCGCCAGCGTGTTCGGAGCTATCGCGAAAAAAAAAATCCAATGGGGGCGCGAGGGGGGTTGATGCAACTAAGGTTTTTCGCAAATAACGTAAAAACGGCGGCGCATAGCGCCGCCAAATTTGGCATACCCTCTGGGGCAACCTTTTCGCACCTTTCCTCCCAGTCTTTTCAGGTCGGGTCACCAGGTCACAAAAACCGGTACAAGGTCAGGGTAAAATTGGACTAGCTTAGCGGCAACTGAATTCCAGAGTTCACTAAAATAGTTAACAAAGTATGTCATTCGATACGCACGGACGTCCTGAGTTCACTGATGCTTTTATTTTTGTTCTATCTTTACTAGGTAAACAGTTATAAGCGAAAAACTTTTGACATGTGTTAGGAACATTTTTGCACTCATACCTCCCAAAAGGCCAAAACCCCCCTAAATATTGACTCAGAGTCACCAAACTTTCAAAGGTGCGAGATTTCCTATGGACCCACCTACCCTGTAAATTTGGCGTTTGTAAGTGCCTATAGGAGCCAATCGCGAGGGGGTCGTACCAACCCCTCCCCTCGCCGTCCGTGTTATGGAAAAGGCCCTCGCCTGGCGAGGGTTAACCCGCGCCCTGCTGGGGGTCCTGGATTTCCACGCCCTGCTGGGGGGGGGTGTTTGAACACCCCCCCTTCTAACTCGGCTCCTGGGCCACGTAGCGATATGCGGAAGGCGGCGTTCGAAAGAGCGTCAAAAATAATGAGGAAATCACTTCAGTCAATTTTTTGGTCAGGTCAAAGGTCAGGTCACCAGAGGTCATTGAAGGCAAAATTTCGCCGTTTTCCAGGTCGAATGTCGAAAATTTCCAAGAAGCCAACGCATAACTCGGGAACCAATAGAGCTACAGCGCTGCGGAAAAGCGCATTCGATAGCCCTATTAACGCCCTTTCTGAGTAATTCTCTCAGATTTGACCTAACGTCAACGGTTTTGCCTGCAGGGGGCAAAAACTGCAAAAATAGCCGATTTTTTCGGAAACAGTTTTTCTGCAATAACTTTTGACCCAAGCCTTGTACGAGCTTACTTTTACCGGCATCGTGTTCCTCTCGTCAAGACGTATCGAATGAATTATAACTTGACCTTGAAAGGTCAACTTGAAAATTTGACCTCAGGTCAAGGTCATGACCTGACCGGAAAGGGTCATGTTGCATATCAGTCGATCCGTATCGTCTAGCTGAACACATCTAAGGCGTTTTCATCGCTCTAGCATGCCTCTATCAAAAGTTATTTGCGAAAAACTGTTAGATACCATTCGTGACCTAAGATGACCTCAGGGCATAAACAGGGGTCACGGACACCATTTTCATGTTCAGTGTGTCTAAAACACTTGTAATTCAGTGTTTGGGAGTGTTTATAATGTCTTTCGTCCAAAAGAGGCGCATTTCAATTTTCTCCCATTGACTTATAATGGGGAGGTCGCAAAATTGACCTGACCTTAGGTCATCGACATCAAAATTCTGAGATATACATTTTGTACATGCTATTGCTCTTAGCAATCGCTGAAAGTTTCAAAGCGATCGGTCACTCGGTGTAGCTATGACAGACATTGAAAGTTTTTATGAGGTGAGGTCACTTCAAGTGACCTGGTGACCTGACGTTGAATGACCTTGGTCTGAAATTTTCACAACATGTGTAGAATTGATGTATGATAAGGTGTACCAAAAACGGCGGCGCTCCGCGCCGCCGTTTTTGAGATATTCGCGAAAAACCACAAGGGGGGGTGTTCAAACACCCCCCCCCCCAGCAGGGCGCGGGTTAAATGATGTCTGATAGATATGATGGAGAGAAACCAATTTACAAGATCGGCTTAACTTGTGCCATGGAAGCGTACTAAGTGTCTGAGTTTGGGCAGCTTTCCGGGGGCCGGCTCTGAGCCCACCGCTCCGCCTGACTCACACCTCTGCCCCCTCTGCCCCTCCTCCCTCCCTCTGCCGGCGCCCACTGGAGCGGCCTGGACCGGTGCCCGCCCCTCTCCCCCCTCCCCGTCCAGGCATCCAGCGCCGCCATATCGGGCCGGCCGGCCGGTGACGTCACTCAGGCCGGCCGGTGACGTCACTCGGGCCTGCCGGCCGGTGACGTCACCCTCAGCGCCGCCACTGATAGTCTCTGATGGTGGTGCTCGGCGTCAGGCCAGCCCGCCTCGCAGAGCGGGGAGAACACTGGTCACGTGTAATATTACTACATATAATTCATTTTAATTCTTTATAAAGGCGGTCTCCGTTCCGACGTTTTATTTCAATATCCTCGTTTAACAGCCACTACAGCAGTCGGCGCGGTCGGCAGTTTGGGCGTTCATCTGTGTCATATAACAGCTGGCGCGGCCCGGGTCGGGTCGGCCGTCGGCTCGTCTGCGCTCGGTATTGAATCGGCAGCTGCTTGGGGCGCCGGCAGCTGCTGAGGGCGCCGTCAGCTGCTCGAGGCGCCGGCAGCTGCTGGGGGCGCCGGCAGCTGCTCGGGGCGCCGGCAGCTGCTCGGGGCGCCGGCAGCTGCTGGGGGCGCCGGCAGCTGCTGGGGGCGCCGGCAGCTGCACGGGGCGCCGGCAGCTGCTCGGGGCCCGGTCGCCGAGCGCCTGGCGCCGGGGCAGCTCCGGCCGCCCGGCCGCGCAGTGCCGGCTCGCCGCCGCTGGAGGCCAGTGGTGCGGGCACCGGCGCCGGCCAGCTGACGTGACGTCATACATCGGTCCGCCCGCTTCCTACTCAGGGAGGCTCAGCTCTGCAGTGTGACGTCACACTGGGCGACACCCGGTGTGACGTCACTCGGTGATGTCAATGTCCAGAATGGTGTCCGAGTCTGGAACAGGGGCGGGCTGGTTCAGGTGGCCGGCGGCTAGTTACGCGCACCTCCGATAGATGTCCTCAGTGTGCGGCCTGGTATTCAGCCGTGATCAGACTGCAGACATAGCCAACAGCGCATAGGTATATCAGTCAGTGGAGGTTTGGTCAATCGTTGTCATTTTTAGCACATGCCATTTTTGGCAACCATGCGCCAAAAATGACAACGCTATCAGCTGTTTTTGGCAACGATGAAGCCAATTTCACTCCTCAGCGAGGAAATCACGATTTTGGAAATACAAGCACTGATTTTGGAAAACAAATGCTGCCACCTGGTGCAAGAAGAAGAAACCAGCTTAACCCTATTAGTGGCAGGCTCCTGGCTACCCCTATTAGTGGCAGGGGGGGGGGCTGTTTACGACCCCCCCCCCCCTTGATATCTCGAGATCTAACGGGCCGATTTTCAAAATTCAAACGGCATTCGATTTCGCTCAACGAGATCTACAATTCTAAAAAAAAAATTAAAATGTAAATAGGGGGGTAGAGGGGGGTAAAAACGGAAAAATTGCAGATACATTTTAGACTGTTTATCACGGCCAGGTTTCTGAACCAATCTTAACGCAACTTTTGCCGATCGATAGAGAATGAACCAGGAATTCACATGGATCCTAAAAATATGCATTTTCAAAAATCATAGGCGGATACAGATCATTGAGATTAGGGGTACACAAAAAGTATTGTAAATAAGGTTTTTGTTGGTAGTGTTTCTAAAAAGGGTGGCAACGGTCTTGTTATGTTACAATTTTCTTATGAGAGAACGACTAAAATTGTATTGGTCATGCATAGGCGGTGTCAGGGCACCTATGTTGGGAGGTAAAAAATAAACCCCCTTTTTGGACGCCTGGATCCGCCTATTATCCCGCGCCCTGCTGGGGGGGGGTGTTTGAACACCCCCCCTTGTGGTTTTTCGCGAATATCTCAAAAACGGCGGCGCGGAGCGCCGCCGTTTTTGGTACACCTTATCATACATCAATTTTACACATGTTGTTAAAAATTTCAGACCAAGGTCATTCAAGGTCAGGTCACCAGGTCACTTGAAGTGACCTCACCTCATAAAAAATTTCAATGCCTGTCATAGCTACACCGAGTGACCGATCGTTTTGAAACTTTCAGCGATTGCTAAGAGCAGTAGCATGTACAAAATGTATATCTCAGAATTTTGATATCGATGACCTAAGGTCAGGTCAATTTTGCGACCTCCCCATTATAAGTCAATGGCAGAAAATTGAAATGCGCCTCTTTTGGATGAAAGACATTATAAACACTCCCAAACACCGAATTACAAGTGGTTTAGACACACTGAACTTGAAAATGGTGTCCGTGACCCTTGTTTATGCCCTGAGGTCATCATAGGTCACGAATGGTATCTAACAGTTTTTCGCAAATAACTTTTGATAGAGGCATGCTAGAGCGATGAAAACGCCTTAGATGTGTTCAGCTCGACGATACGGATCGACTGATATGCAACATGACCCTTTCCGGTCAGGTCATGACCTTGACCTGAGGTCAAATTTTCAAGTTGACCTTTCAAGGTCAAGTTATAGTTCATTCGATGCGTCTTGACGAGAGGAACACGATGCCGGTAAAAGTAAGCTCGTACAAGGCTTGGGTCAAAAGTTATTGCAGAAAAACTGTTTTCGAAAAAATCTGTTATTTTTGCAGTTTTTGCCCCCTGCAGGCAAAACCGTTGACTTTAGGTCAAATCTGAGAGAATTACTCAGAAAGGGCGTTAATAGGGCTATCGAATGCGCTTTTCCGCGGCGCTGTAGCTCTATTGGTTCCCGAGTTATGCGTTGGCTTCTTGGAAATTTTCGACATTCGACCTGGAAATCGACGAAATTTTGCCTTCAATGACCTCTGGTGACCTGACCTTTGACCTGACCAAGAAATTGACCAAAATGATTTCGTCATTATTTTTTACGCTCTTTCGAACGCCGCCTTCCGCGTATCGTCACGTGGCCCAGGAGCCGAGTTACAAGGGGGGGTGTTCAAACACCCCCCCCCCCCCAGCAGGGCGTGGAAATCCAGGACCCCCAGCTGGGCGCGGGTTATTGCAAAAACGTGTCAAAAGAGGATGCACAATAACTTTGTATAGGTGTTATCACATGATACCTTTCATTCACTGTTCGTAAAACTGGTGCAGCATCGTGATATTCGCCCAAATGACTCGCTTCACGAATAGGACCCCCCAATTCCCAGTGCTCTGGAGCCGCCCCTGGTAAAGTTATGAACTTGAAATTTTCAGGGAATGTGCCCAATTTAGTTTTAGGAAAAGTCAGAAAATTTCAGCATCGTAGCTTCAGCGGTTTCGGAGATATTCCCGAAAAACCTGAGAGGTGGATAAAAACAACCCCCCCCCCTGCCACTAATAGGGTTAAATATGGCCGTTGTTTGTATGGTAGTCCAACGTTGAAGTATACCTTTTTTGTGGCCTGAAGTTGGAACTTTAAATTGAAGCATCCGAAAATGATCGATATTGATCGGAAACATTTTTATTACGGAGCGAGCGAAGCGAGCGTAGTCTTTCCTTAGATTAACGGAAATTTCTGAGTATGAGCGGCCGGCCGGCCGGCCGGCCGGCCGGCCGGCCGTGGTCACTGCCTGGACGGGGGATTCCGGTTGAAGCGCAGTCACGTGACCTGCGATATCTCGGTGCGCTCTAAGCGGAAGGGGTGTGCCCTTATAGGTTCGTTAACTTTTGAGCCTATTTATTTGTGTCGTAACGATTGCAAATAATTTCAATCGTCGATGGACAGAGAATTGAAAAAGCATTACGAATATGTATATTTTGACTGGAAAATACGTCAATGGCAGCCTGCAGCCTATTCGGCACGGGAAGTTTTTTTCCGGAATTGTCAGTACTAATTGCGCAAAACTACGCCTAAACTGGAAAAGATGGTTCAGGTAACAGCGCAGTGTGTTTATACATAAGGTTTCTTTAAGCGCACTGCACTCATTTCGGATCAAGTACGCCCTGAATGGATATTTCTTTTTTTTTACCTATACCATTTTCTTTTACCTTCCAACGAAGCTGCCATATGAAGCACTTTCCCAGTATCGATGCATGCAGGCCTGTAGATCATAATGGATAGGTACATTATTGTAAATTCCACATATTTTACTACGCATATAATTATAATTTCCTAGAAAAAGAATCGTGATATCCCCTTCCGAAAACGAAAATTCATCGTTTTTTCCACTTATTCTGCCTCCGATTCCATTTCACTGGCCTTCTCAGGCTTGAAACGGGACCTCTTAGACTGGAACACGGGCCCTCTCCAGCTTGAAACGGGCCGTGCTTTCCAGCTCAGGGGCGTCATCGACGTTGTGTTCGGAGGGGTCGCGACCCTGCATTTTTATGAAACCAGAGCAGTCGGACCCCACACTTTGAGCACTGGTACTTATCTATGAAAATAAATTACCTATTTCTTATGTAAATCTAGTGCTCACCCCCAAAAATAGTGGGTAAAATCAGGAGCTTTTTGGGCTTTTGTGGGATTTACTTTGACTGACCGTCTGGCCTGGCCCCCTCACTCGAAAAATATGTGGCTCTAATTGGGCCCACCTTTTGTGACGGGCTGCGGCCGCCAGTGATGGCGCCAGGCCAGGCCATCTGTGCTCATGGCCTAGCAGCACCTCTGGCAAGAGTTCCCTCCATGGCAGGAATAGGCCCGGAACAGGGGCAGGGCCGGCGCCACAGGGGGGGCAGCTGCCCCCCCCCCCCAGCTGCCAGCCGGGCCCTTTAAAAAAATGCAGGAACGTGCATTTGGAGGCAAGAGGTACCTAATGGCCAATTTATGCACCTGAATTCGATCGGAGACCACTTGTCGGTCGGAGGGCCCTGGTCAGTGCTCAGCTGGAGGGCCCTGGTCGGCTAGAGGGCCCTTTTCAGTCAGAGGGCCTTGGTCGGCCAGAGGGCCCTGGTTAGTCAGAGGGCCCTGGTTGACCAGATGGCCCTGGTCAATCAGAGGGCCCTGCTATGTCAGAGGGTCCTGGTCGGCCAAAGCACAGAGGACCCTGGTCGGTCAGAGCTCAGAAGGCCTTGGTCGGCCAGAGGGCCCTGGTCGGCCAGAGGGTCCTGGTCGGCCAGATGGCCCTGGCCCTTGTCCGTCAGAGGGCCCTGGTCGGTCAGAGGGCCCTGGTCCGCCAGAGGGCCCCGAACCCGGTCGATCAGAGGGTCCTGGTCGGTCAGAAGGCCCTGGTCGGTCAGAGGGCCACAATCGGTCACGGGTCCTTGGTCGGCCAAAAGGCCTTTGTCCGTCAGAGGGTCCTGGTCAGTCAGAGGGCCCTGATCGGCCAGAAGGTTTGTCAACCTTCTGGCCGATCAGGGCCAGAAGGTTGACAAACCTTCTTCAAATCAACCTTTTCAAAAATTTTTGATTGACACCGGTAGATTAACTTAGACTCTTGCACGCGGTAAACTTGCTCATGTGGCTGGTGACCGAGGTGGGTTGTGTGGCGGCTGACACCGACATCAGACTTTGGCGCCCGGCGGCCGGTGCCGTGGCGGCGGCCGGTGTTTTATCCCTTGGTTTACCCTTACCCAGACATGGTGCCTCGAGTTAAGTACATTGTGTGCTTTGGCATCATGTCTTATCTGTTTGTTCAACTTTATTTTTGCATGCCTTGATCAATAAACGAAGTGATGATGATGATGATGATGATGAAGGTCGGTCAGAGGGCCCTGGTCCGCCAGAGGGCCCCGGACCCGGTCAATTAGAGAGTCCTGGTCGGTCAGACTCTTGGCTCTGGTCGGCCTTGGTCGGTCAGAGGGCCCTGGTCAGCCAAAAGACCCTGGTCTGTCAGTGGACCTTGGCCTGTCAGGGGTCCTGGACGGTCAGAGGGTCCTGGTCGGCCAGAGGGCCCTGGTTGGGCAGAGGGCATTGATTGGCCAATGGACCTTGTCACTTCAGTCAGGGGGCTTGGTTAGTCAAAGGGCCCTGGTCTCAGTGTCTCAGT